CAGACATCTGTCTTTCAAACCAAGACACACACTCTATACTATCTTGAAAAATACATATTCTTTACTGTCAAGCTTGATACTGTGAATTTTTTGGATCTGTTTTTCCATCTTTGTTGCCTGGAAATATTAAAAAGTGCTTTCCCACTTAGTACAGTTAATGTCTTTTAGATAATTGAATAAAAAGATTCACAAATTTTGTTTATTCATTTAAGTATTTACAATACCTTTAGAAATGCCCAACAAATTTTTCGGAAACCATATTCCTGAGTTTGTACATCAGAGGTGGCTCTCACTTCATCCATACTTAGAAAATCAAGGATCTGAAAGTATTGGTAGGAATATAAATATATTTCTAATGAATATATACTTCACGGTAATTAAAAAAATACTGCTGAAAATATGCTATATGCAACTCACTAAATTAAGCAGATATGAATTTTAAGCAATTACAAAACCAGTACTTCTTCCATACAAGTATGCAATTAGAAATAGATCCTTATGCATTTACCGGAGGCGTCTGGTCTTAAAAACACCTATTCTTTCTTGCTTCCGTTCTGTCTCAATAAGAGAGGAAAACATTCATGTGTAACTTTCACAAATTCTATATAGATCACAAATCATATAGATCACAAATGTGACAGCCAAAACCAGCTGGACATTAATCTAGCTGGAACACAGCAGTCAAAAAGTTAGTTCTACTTTCCTAGCTTTAATGCTTATGCCATAGAATCAGTCATAGCATGGTTTGGGTTGGAAGTGATCTTCAAAGAGCATCTAGTCCAATCCTCGCTGCCATGGGCAGGGACACCTTCCACTACATCAGGTTGCTCAAAGCCCCATCCAACCTGACTCAGAACACTTCCAACAACGTCCATGAGATTCTTCATTTTTCTGGTGAATGACCAGAATCTTCTCATATTTAGCCACTCCTGAACATTTATCCGGTATACAAAAAAAAACCCTTGGAATCATGCATCCTTCAAGTTGATACTTCATAAACCACGCTGTAGTAAACCAGCATGCTTTCATACTTTTGGTCCCAACATTAACATGACTTCCATGAAGAATCTTTACACACATACACAATTACCTCTGTGTTAAGCAACTATGGACTTTTAACTATATAAATGTGTTCATTTATGAGTATTCACAGAACATAAAGAAACATATGGTGATATAGTATATGCAATCTATTTGAAATATAAAAAACAAGGAATGACAAAAAGGATTGTATTAGGTTCTCATTTTCAGGTTAATACTACAGAATCTCTCTTTACAAATATTGAAATACTTAAGCTCAAAATCATGTTGAATATATACCTTACAATTTTTCCTTTAAATTATATTGGAGTACGAATTCAAAAAATTGTACTGGAGGATGAATTAATTACTTTGCGAAGAATGGGAGAGAAGTCAACATCTAAATGTTAAGGGAAAACAATGCAACAGCTAGCTCATTGGTACAAAGGAAAAGAAGTGTTGCTACAAGCAGGCAAACTCCATTTTGGAGTTTCCAGTAGTTAAGATTCTTTTCAGATTTCAAGAATGTGAAAAAGGACGAAGTGATATCCTTTATACATCATGCCTCCTCTGGAACGATCTTACCAGCCTTTCCTAGAAGTTTGACAGCTGATTTAATAAGAAAGCTTTGTCCTCCTTAATACTATCAAAACAGGGAGTTTTTTGGTATATATATAAAAAAATATGTTTATTAGTATTAGCAATCACCAATACCAGTTTCTGGTATCTCCACTTAATTCTGTATCTTAAGGCTATGCTGTTAACCCAATACAACTGAAATAAAACACCTGAATCAGTCAAATATACACTATTGAAGAAACAAACAGAAAATCATAACATGCATAAATTGGACATAAAATATTTAACCTTACCTCAAAAAACAGGATTACCCGAGGGCTTTCTTCAGTGTTTTGAATAAAATAACTAAAACGCTCATTAAAAATGACTTGCTCCTCCCATTCTGGAACTGTTGATTTCGACTGTCTGAAGTCATATGGTTGTGTCATGATAGGAAGAACATGCTCTATCTGTTCTTGTTCATAATAAGATGAAACTTTTCTCTTGCTGTTTAAAAATTTTCAAACAGTTACAATTGTTAAAAAAAAACAACTTAAACAAAACAGTATTTTCAATTATTGAAAGCAAAAAACCATACAAGATACCATATTTGATTTTTAGAAAAAAAAATATTCTAAACCCATCCAAAACTTAAGACACTTTGGAATGTATACAGAAATGCTACAGGCTGCGGTTCAAAATCCTAACAATCAAGATACTGTTACCAAATTTATTCATAACAATCATGGCAGAGTCTACTGCTTAAATGCTGTTAAAATTTGGTTTTCAGGAAAATTATGCATAATAACAATGGAAATAAGTAAATGAAGTGACAGGAAACATGAAAAACTACATTTCAGGATTTTTAAAGTTCTTTTTTATAAAAAATGCTACTTGTGTTACAAGAGTTTTGCTTACTTGTTCTAATCTTGGCTTCTACATATTTTTGAGATTTAGGAAATTTTCTCTCTTGAATGAATACAGAATGAACTGTGCTGTAAGTATGAGGACCTCAAGAGCAATACAGCAGTGCAGAGCATTTAAAAGTGGCAAAAAGAAAAGAAAAATACCACATGTAGGTGTGTGTATATATATACATATGTGCATTATCATAGACGTAGAAACTGATGAATGAACTCACAAGCTTAAAATTCAGCTTTATTTTCATTTTCATATTTAACTTTCTAGGGAAGAATCCATGTATTTCTAGTAATCATTGATAACAAAAAACCAGTTTGTTAAAAGTTACCTATGATCCTTCTTGACATATAAGCCACTTCTCTGATCAACCACATGGATTTTAACCATGGGATGAGATACCAGGAGATCAGTTTTAAGTCGATCAGATCGATGGATATAAACTCCCAACACAAGATCATCATCAAAACCAAATTTAGACTGAGTTGAAATTTCTGAATTCTTCATTTCCTCATCATTTTCTGCAGCAACTTCTGTGTTTTCTTCTAGAAATAGAAACAAAGTAAATAGAGGTTACTATGTTCCACTAGTGACAGTTTAAAGGAGTAAAAATGCTCTGCATTGTCTTAGCAATCAATAGTATAGCAGTAATATTTACTGTGTTCTTTATGTAATAGCTTAAAATAAAATTATCAAATTTGCAGCTTTTTAAACATGTATGAAAATACACATGAATATATATAAATTAATATACTCTACTCCTATTAACAAACACTTTTATTCAAAATCAGAGGTCTAGCTCTTGATTGACATAGGTTCTTCTGTACAATGACTTAAAATACGCACAGTTGAATATCCTGCTCTGGACTACAGTGCATAGGAGGTTTTGTTTGTTTGTTTGTTTAAGGAAAACATTAAAAAACCAAGATAAGCAGAAACTGATGCCTTCTCCATGTGCATTTTGCCCAAATTTACCAAACACTGTTTTCAGAACTTCCTCATTTACAAGTTACAGTGAGACCATCATACTTAATATATGTCAAAAGACCTACTCCTATTCAATTTCCATAATCTCCATTTTTTAAACCAATTTCTTAATTTGGCCTCCAAACGTTTAAGGAAATGAATTCTGCAATTTGACTATGTGTTGCAAGAAAAAGTATTCCTAATGTTTAAATTGGGCATCAGGTTAAATCAGTGGTGATACTTCATTTATAGCATAAAGTAAACAAAAATGATAAAATAATAAAAGACAATTAGAATATGCATCTAAGTAATAAACTATAAAGGTGGTATATCTATTTTAGGATTATTATATTATGCTTAAAACCCCCTTTTTAATGATCAACTTCCAAACTATTCAAGGTGGTATATCTATTTTAGGATTATTATATCATGCTTAAAACCCCCTTTTTAACGATCAATTTCCAAACTATTTACAGTAAATGAATTATCAAGATTTTAGATTGATACATCAAACTTCCTTATAAATTAGCCTCAGAATTGGAAGAAGAAAAACCAGTAAATGAATTATCAAGATTTTAGATTGATCAAACTTCCTTATAAATTAGCCTCACAATTGGAAGAAGAAAAATACAATGAAGTAACTAAAGAAACCTAAGTAGCTTCAACAGCTCAATCACTTCTGTGATACTACTATGGACAAATATTTCTATAGTAGTGGGAAAAAAAAAAAGGAAAAAATACTTGGATGAAGCAGCAAAGCAGCATGCCATTCTAACATTTTGTTGGCAGACCTTTTCTGGTTTTCTTTTTAACCTTCTTTGCCTTAGGTTTCTGTTTCTCCATGCTTTCCTCCAGTTTCTGTACTTCTGATGTAAATAGTCTTTCCAATGACTGATCTTCATGGCTAGTTTCTGCTGGATGATGCTGTAGCTCAGAAAGGGACATTGCACTGCAACGTAATGGATTACTGTCAGCAACTGCATTCTACTGTTTATCTGGATACAATTGCTCATTACCATTATTAATCCACTTCAAATTTCCTCTTTAGTTCTGCAACTCATCATCTGTGTATCCTGAAAATGCAGCCCCCCCCCCCCAACATTAGTGTCTTGCCTTTTTCATTTGTCTCCCCTCTTCATTTCCCACTAATTTCCAGATAATTGCAGAACCATTCATGTGAACAGAGCTAAATTAATACCCTTCTGCTGGACCAGGGCCGTCACTAAAGTATGCACAAAATTATCTTAAGGTAGTTAAGAGTTCCACAGAAAATAAACATCAGAGAGTAATAGAGGATAATTTTTTAAAGAGTTAAACAGAATCTGTGAGTTAAGTATTAATCTTGACAGCATTTTGAAAAAGTATCTGGTAACATTTTTTCATAACAGAATCATCCACTTCACGTAGAAAACATATACAATTTATCAGAAAGTTTCTGCCTATTTAAAAAAAAAAGAAACATTTTGCTTAAGATACAGAGTTTATCATGGTACCTTGTTTCAGCTTCACTTAAAACCGCTACTTTCTTCTTTTTCTTCTTTTTGCCTGCTTCCTTGTTCAATACAACTTCATGGCTTTGAACAGTGGAGGTAAATTCAGGCATCTGTTCTTTAAGCTTCATTCTTATTCTCTTTTTAATTGCATTTGCCTCATCCTCTGCCACATGCAGCTGATAGGCTCGAATTAGCTCTTCTTCCTCTTCTAATTCAGTTACATTTCTTGCTTCAGTCAAGGAATTTTTAATCTTTCTATCACCTTCTTGATGAGGTACATCTGTTTGTGATTTACTTTTTGTTTTCTTCTTTGGAAAATCATTAAACTTTTTCTCAAAACTCTCCAATTTAGCTTCATATAAATTTTCCTCCTCATTAAATTGTTCTTGTAACAGTGATTTCTTTTTCTTGTTAGACTTTGGTTGCTTGTTCTCCTCTCCACTAACAATATCATTGTTTATTTTCTCTGCAATTGAGGCTTTCTCTCTCAGTTTATTTTTTGTAAATCGGGGACTCTCTTCTTCAGGATTATATGTGTTGTTTATAATTGCTTCATCATTGACGCTTTCCTTAGCTAGATCAATATTACTTCTAAAGGTGTCAAGCTATAAATGAAAAGAACATAAAACATACTTGTACTAAAAATTATGTTCTAAGGATAAACATAGTACTTTGTTATTTCTTTAGCAACATTACACAAAGCAAAATGGTATCAAAGAGCTAGTTGTTTTCATGTTTAAAATTAACAAGTGACAGATTGAAAGGCAAAGGAAAATTCACACCAAAAAAATCCCCATTTTGTATTTGGGCACTTCATCCTCAATTTTTGTTTCACTATGTTTTTAAACGACTTTTATGTGTATCTAGTAAAAAAAAAACAAACAAGCCTGCTCCATAAACAGATGCCAATGCTTTAGACTATGAAAGACTTGAAGATTAGATGGAGCAAGAAATCAAGTATTTTCATCCACTTAAAATGCAAGCTAGAGACAGACTTCACGCTCAGTTGCTTGTAGTCTCTTATACTGAAAGTAGCTTGCCAAAGTTTGACAATGAAATTATATGTACAAGTGCTAAAACTGAAAAAGAGATTTCCATTAACTTTTTTTTTAAAAAGTATAAAGTTGAAAAAAAACCCCACCCCATATTATTCTTAGTAGAATGACAAAGAGTTGATCTAAAGACCACTCTAGTAAAAACAGCTAAGATAAATCTCAGCTAATGCATTTGACTGTACACTCCTTCTCTCAAATTCTCGTGTTTTTAAGAAAACACGTTGTAAATTTTCCTCCCTCCTTCAGGTTTCTCTTCCTGGTTACTAAAAGTTATAATGCCCAATCCCTGGAAACATTCAAGGTCAGGTTGGGTGGGGCTCCAAGCAACCTGATCTTGTTGAAAATGTCCCTGTTTATTCCAGAGGGGTTGGACTAGATGACCTTTAAAGGTCCCTTCCAACCTGAACTATACCATGGTAACTCAAAACAACACAGCAAGCAACTGAGGCCTAATTCTGTAAGGAGCTTGATGTATACATCTCTGTGCCTTGATGGAACTTCTATAAAGTCATTGAGGTTCATTCACTCTGTTGTCTTACATAAAACGCTCTGGAGTCTCTACATGAAACATTAGAAAGGAATTTAAAACACAAAGAAATAAAATAAAATAAAATAAATTGGAGAAAATGTAAGTATCTGCATACAATCTTTTCTTTGCCAAGGCCATCTTCCTCCCTCATTAAACACAGACATCTTCCCCTTCAAGCTGTGATACTTCTCCCAGTCACAGAATCGTCTTTGCCTCAAATATTTTTAAAATGGGACAATACGTGTAATAAGTCATCACGAAAATGTACAAGCTTGTAAGAAGAAAAAAACAGAGAATGAAGTTGCAACGGCAATCACACTTTGGAGGATGGATCCTCACTTAAAAATGCCCGCCTACGAGAATAATATTCTATGACTAGAAAGAAGAGAACACTCAATGTGGAAGTCATCTACCTCCATATCGTATGTCCTCAATTACGTGAGCCTGCAAACCTCCACCGCTATCTTGTTTTATTCACATCTAGCATTTGAACAGAGAACATGAAGGGCAAGGAAAGTGTTATAAGTACTGAAGAAGAAGAGAGGAAAAAGAAAGGAAAGTTTGAAGTACATGAGTAAAACAGAAGAGAAAAAAAATCAAGGAAGTGTATTATTTGTACACTTTAGTACATTTGTATGCAATTAGTACATTATTTGTACATAAAGGAAAACTGTCACATAAACGCAGTGTAACAAGAAAAATACACCAAGAGAAATTTTAACACAGAAATAAAAGCTGATCTCTGAAACTAGAGACAAAGCTTAAAAATGCACTAACTACATTTACTAATGCTACGTATTAAACAACACTGTCCTAGTAAAGTAGGAGTTAAAAGAGAAAGCGTCTAGAATTTCATGCAAGTATGCTTATCTAATACATCAGAAAAATCTAAAGCCATTCATATATCTTTTCAGTAGATGTCTTTATTTTTAGCACCCTATGTCTAAAAATAGTTTAAATTATCTGAATAGCAAATCATGACAAAACCTGTCTTTGTACCTTCATCTTTTACTTGCTTAAATAGACCAGTAATATCCTTTTTATTCATAAGTCAATGATTTAAGAGGATGTGGAAGATTTCATGTAAATAACTTGAAATACAGAATAAAGTACAGGAAATAAAAAAAAAAATTAAAGCAACAAGCATTGTACAAACTAAAAAAAACCCAAAATAATGCTTTCTAATAGATTATACACTTCCCTATCTGCATTTCTACAAAGAGCTTTACCAGCAGAGCAGAAGAACTGAAGGTTAAAACACATTGGCAATTAAGACCCAACAGTGACCAACAGCTAAGGTCATGCTGATTTTTGCTTTTCATAGAACATTAATCCGTTAAGCCCAAGAAGTAGAATTTTTTGAGAAATCCTAAACAAAAAGTACCTTGTCTTCGACTTGTTCAAGAGTTCCTAAAATACCTCTGATATTCAAGAATCAATTCCTCAAAGAAATCCAGCTGTTGCAAAAAATTGCTTGAAATATTTACTAGAACTTGTTATTTATTATGCCTACAACCGGAAACATACGTCCACAAATGCAGGTCATGAGTAGCAGCAGCAAACAGTCAATTATAGCAAATTTACTCATAGGGAAAAAAAACCAAAACAACAGAATAACCTCATAATGAAATAAAACACAAACTCAAACGGGAGAAAATTCCAGGAACATTCCAGGAAGATACTGCAGGCAACACAAATCTGCTTCAGCAGTTCAAACACAAATTCCTCAGATACATAGCCTGCACGATCTTAACTCAGGCCACTTTTTCCACATTTTGTAATTACATTATGTAATTAAACAGAGAGTAAAGATGGGAGGGAGTCACAAAATGATAAAGCCAAGAGATTCAAAAAAACCCAGCAGATTAGATCTCAGGCAGAGGCAGGGATACTGGTATATATCCTCTGTCTGAAATGCAAGACTGAGAGATCAAGAGTGAGCAATCATCTATATACAAACACACTTGAACTGAGTTAGAAAAAGCAGTTAGGCCGGAAAAGCAGCTCAGAGGACAGGCCCATCTCTGGAGTAACTCCAGAGGGTTGCTGACCTGAACCTGACCTCCTCAGCTTAAAGCACGGAACAATGACAAGGCTTTTTTTTCAGAACAGCTCCACGGCCACATTTTTACACCAGGGCAGAGGAAGTACCCTTCCCCAAGAACAGACCTACTTGCACTACTGGCTCGATAGGAGAGATGGGTGCCAGCCAAGATGCATGCAGGTGGGCTAACACACAAGGCTCGTACCACAATGAGCCAACCCCAGACCATATCACTTGCTATTCATGTTCCAGAGCTGACCGCAGGGACAACGCCTAATAGTCCCACTCCTTTTAAAAAAAAATGCTTCTCAAATATGCGTGAGAGGAACCTGGAAACACATCAAGTGATTTTGCCCAGGGTATCTGAAAACTCAGATGACGGCATTTACAGAGGTACGTGAACTTCTTCCCATAATACAGGCACACCTTGAAAAATTAGGAATGGACATTGCCAGCCCACTGAAGGGCTGATACTACTGGTTGTAAAAGTTTACTTACAGCTGAATTGGTAATGAATGTACTTGTGATGCTGGCTAGTTGGGTGGGATGTTTAAGAAAATTTTAATGCACTAGGGACCAAATTTACTGCCATTGCTCATATAAGACTAAAAAAATGCAGATGTTCAAAGCTAGAACAATTTTAATTTACAGATAGGATGGGCTTGGAGAAGTTTCACCAAATTTTAACAGAAAACATTCAGAAAATGTGTAGGTCAAGTACAGTCAACTATTAGCAGTTCTATTTTAAATGAAACAAAGGGCTAAAACCCAGTGGAAATCTCTACAGTTATTCAGTGCCTGTCAGCTTATGGAAAAAAATAAAGGGCTATGAAAACAGACCCTGGGAAAATTCTACAACCTCAAAGCTCCACAGGTTGTGTTTTACATCTAAGACAGAAGCTCAAGTACTGAATCAGTCAGCAGAAACCCGTATAACATCCATCTTACCCAAAAGAATACAAGAATTTTCAAGCCTGGAAATAGGCTCATGTTACCTGTACCCTCATGAAACTCCAGACTCCAACCTGTCATCCAAGACCTTATGAAGAAGCAAAAAGCTTCAAATGGAGAAATCTGTTGCAGTCCTGCCTTGAATACAAAACCTTAGTTATCAATGTGCTCATCCAATATTATAAGCTGGTCAGACTACAGTCTAGGGAAGAAATTCTTGCCACCATAAAGGTATTTTGCTTTTCAGCTAGTAGAAAACTTCACTGACATTTTCTGAGTTAAAAATCCTCTTTACCATGAAATTTAGATTGAACCAAATAAACTCAATCATTTTCATGCTGACTTTAGACAGAATAATCTGTTTGGGCATTGCCTGGTCTGAGGCTTGCCTCATTCAAAAAACTTGTCATAGAAGGCACAACTGGTAAAAAATAAATATGGTGACTGTCAGCCCTGGAAGGGATACTGGCAAATTCACTTTCTGACCGTATCCAAATTGCCCGTTTTTTTCAGCCATGCCTTCAGGCCTCATACCCACTGCACCTGTGGCACTGAACAAGAAAGCAGACCTTCCACTGGCCATAGCTGACGTCTATCTCCATTACAAGCCCCTCATTCCTATCAGTTGTGACTTCAAACTCACCCTGCCCTACTGACACCACTCCTTCCTCTTCCAGTCAGGCTGCTTCCCTTCCCTCCAGGCAGGGTCTCCAGGCAAAGGGCACACAGAGCTGGGCAGGCAGGCAGGCAATCTCCCTACCCTCACTTCTGTTGTTTAAAATCACAGCAACCTCCCGCAGCTCCAGAACTCAGGTTTCAAGGAAACAGTGGACTATGATGGAAAAGGTTTTATTAATCTAAGAAAGGCTAGGTTCAGTAAAGACAAAAGAAAGAAGCAGACTGGAACATTTCCAGTGGAAATATGCTCTCAACCATGACCTGTTTGTGATCAAACCTGGGAGACCATTTATGGTAAGCGCATGACACAAAGACAACCATCACTGATAAATTCTGCATTACTTCAAGATATGTGAAACTCTATACAGTTGAATTATATAAAGGGAAGAAAACTGGAACAAAACCAATCAACCTCCTTCATCTACCTCCTCTTCCCCTCCCACACACATTTATTTCTTACAAAGAAATTACTGGTTATTTGCTGAAGCTTTTACAGAAGTTTCTACTTGAATGCAACCAGCATGGAAAACACCAACCTGAGGTCTTGCAACTTTGCCACACTTTAAGGAAATATTCAAAATGGTCAGTATTAGGTTTCAATATACGTTCTCCTCAAGTTCTTAGGTTTTTTAGTGCTTCAATAAAACCATAAAGTTAGGCTTCCACACTGATCCTAAAAACGCATCTTAATTCGTGTGTATACCACTAACTTTTGATTAAGTTCACTGTGATTTTAAATGTTTGTAGGTAACTTCAAAACACTAGTGTTTTACATCAGAGACTTCTGGAACGGAAACCAATTTTAAAACCAAAGTAAGCTTAAAGTATTTATGAGTAATATGTAGTTATATATGAACATACAATTATGTGCTCAAAAATAAACTACAGATTTAAAAACTCACGTTCCATCAAAAAAGTAAACCTAGCCAAAGAAGACTTTAGTCTTGTATTTACACATATGCCAGCAAAAAAAAGGAAAAAAAAAAACCCACCCTCTAACTCTTCTATACTATATTTTGGAAACCATGTTGATTCTTTGTATAGACTATTGACTAAATACCATATACTTCAAGGAATGCAAAATAAAAAAAAAAATCCGCACAGATATAAACTTCAAATTGTCAATCTAAAGACAAAATTACGTTTCAGCATAACAATACTAAGTTTAATATAACTATTCTGAATATACTTACATACAATAAATACATGTAACGTTCTGCTATATTATAAAATACCACTCCTTTGCCTTAAGTGAGTATTAAAGAATGAACATTCACTTCCAGCATCTGGTGTGGATGCAATTGTAAGAAAAAAGACTGGAATTATAAAACCTAACAGAGGAAAATAAAAACCCAGAACATCTGTATTTTAAGCAAATTGCTTTCTTTTGAAATTCCCAACATTGTAAGTCAGTAATTGGTGTATATTGGACTCATATCAAACATTTATTACTCTGTTGAGGAAAAAAGCTACGATACAAACCATAACTCAGAGGAATCTCTGAGGATCTTTTAATGAGAGATATGCCACAAACGAAAATGTCATCTATCATAAGGTCAGGGTGACAGAATCATTCCTAATCTTCAAGTTACAAGCTAAGGCCAAAATATTTAAAACAAATCTTTATACGTGTGTACTGCCTAAGTAGACATGTAAACATGGGACCACTCAGACACAAAGCTCAGCACATGCAGAAATATGCTGACTACTGACATCAAATTGAAAAAAAGTTTCAAATGTTGTTTAATGTTGTTTGTAAATTCTTATTCCAGTAATTTTAGGAAATGACATAAAGTTAATGATTATCTCTAATATTATTATAAATGCTCATCAGTTCTCAATTCACAGATGCATTACACAGATGTACCTGGATTACAAGGATGCATTGCTGGTACACAAACAACAAATAAAAGCCACATCAAAAACAAAAGGTATGTGCAGAAATACACTTTGTACTTTATTTTTTCAAAATGCTTACATCTCCTTTCTACAGTACATTTTCCTGATCTTTTTTCCATTAAGGAAGGCAACCAAAGCAAGCTTGCATGTGTTCAAACTCACCACAATATTCTCTTGAGACTGAAACTTCTTTTTCTTTGATTTCTTTGTGTCTGTTAGGCCAGCATGACGCCTGAAGATTTCCTCAAAGCGGACTTTGGTTTTCGCTTTTGCCTCGCTTTCAACTGCAAAAAGAAATCTAGAGTATGATTCACAAGCTCAACAACCACCATTGCTAAAAAAGTGTGGAATCATGCTTTAAAATTGCAAAGGACAAGAATTATTTTACCAGGGGAAGTTTACCAAGAAATTTGCTTAGTATTCAGTTAAGAATTTCCACTGACAACATAAACCACATAAGGATAACTCAGTAACGTTGTTCAAACACACCAGGCTATTACTTGTTGCTGCAGTTGGCACTGTCTACTCTGTTTCCTGAAGAAAGCGCATACTGAAGAGCACACACACATCAGGATCTGCACAAAACTTGGGCTAGCCAAAGCAGAGGCCAGATTATTGCCCTCACTGTTTATGAACAATGGAACACTGATAACATAGGTGACACACTGTCTCCAGGAGAAGCAGCAGCTCTGGATTCTTACTGAGTCTGGAACCCAGAAAAGCACCACCCTGGGACAGATCTGTAAGAGGCAGGAGCACACACAGATCCAAAATCAGCTGGAGCTCAGAGTCCCTGCCTTTCTGTGAATCATGCTACTGCTATCTGCAGCATTTCAACCCTTGAAGCAGTCGGTGTTCTAGACCCCTGAGGTAATGTTTAATTTGTAGCTAAAGAATTATAAACGCAATTTGGCACACCACTAAAAAAGACTGTTGATTCCTCAGCTACAGCATATTTACCACTGTCATTACAATTTTTATGAACACCCCAAATTTAAAATAAAACATAAAAAAAACCAACACTTTGAAAATCAGCTATAAACACGGACTCAAAACTGAGCCACTGCAGCATTAAACAATTACAGATACAAGTAACTCCCACTATTTGCATCCAGCTCTGACTACAAAATATGTATTGGAAATGAAACACAAAGTATCCTTACCTGCTGGCATTTTCAGTCCTCAGTTAGAAGTGGCTCAACACACCAGCTGCTTCTTCCTCAGAATTCACCATCCTATGTAAAGTAATTAACAACTTTCAGTAACATAACTGGCCCATAGACGTCAAGATAACAATTGAATAGATGCTAATTAACATCAAGGAGGAGTACAGATCTTTTAGGGAAGTATTTATTTCTAGACTATTTGTCTAAATTATTAGAAGTTCTCTGCCATCAAATCTCAGCTCAGGATTCTCAGTGCTACATGATACTTATTTGAGAGTAATTAAAAACCAGCCCTACAGCAGTTTAATTATCTATGTATTTCTGGGCAATAGCCAAACACTTCAGTACTGTAGTCCTCCAGGCTTCTAAAAAACCCTACAATTTATTTAAATAATAATGACCCATGAAGCCATTTATACTGAAGCTTTTCTAATCAGGTTCCTATCCTGACAGCATCATCAAGGGAGCTGATAGCTTTCAACGCAAAGATTATTATCTGCCAGCAAATTTAACTTTATTACAAATCTCTAAATATTTATGTTTACGTAAAGCATTTGTATTTTACATAAAGCAGACAAGCAATTACATGAAACTCATTTCTCTAAGGAAAAAGCGTTAGGCCCTCCTTGTTGTTGAGAAAAGCCTACAAATGCAATCCAAATAAAGCTTGAAGGCAAATAAAAATATCACACAGCTTTATCTTTTCATCAAGAAAATTCAGAATGTTTTACAAAAAGCTTTAATACAAAAAGCTGTTTTGTAAACAGTGGAACTAATGAAACGTAGCTTTCTACGAATGTGTTGTGTTCCCCTTAGCCTTCTGTGCAACCAACTACCGTACCTCATCTCCTCGGCAGCCCAGCAGGCGATAGCTAGCTCCAAGGTAACACCTCCTGGTAGGCAGCACTAACTCACATTCACTGGACATGCAGACTACATCGATCCTAATGAATTAAGACATAGCATTAAATACCGCCAGGCTATATAGCTGTATTATCCTCAGCACCATCTTGGTCCAAGCCACTGAACACTTGCCCAAGCAACTCCTGGGTACAGTTTAGGAGTTAGTATGGGTTACTATTGATAGGCAGTTTGCACGTGGCCACTCTGGTTTGGGGCTAAGAGAGTTTAATAGCATTAAATAAAGGGGGCCAAATATACCACTTGGCCTCAACGCTGAAAATCACTCGCGGGCACACATACATCTCACCAGCACTAGGAAAGAGCTGAGGCTACACTTACATCCCCAAGCATCTGCACTGCTGTACCCTCAGACCCCTCTCATCTCTCTTTCACAGGGCTACTTGCTTCTTCCCTGTCTCCCATAGGCTACGCACTTACAGGTCATTTCACATTCGTTACTTGGGGCAGTTCGGTCTGCTGGCCAGCCAAACCAAATCAAATTAAGAAAAAAAAGGCAAAGTGTTAGGGTCGGTTTGGGATTACAGAAGTGCTGATTGGTCAGTTGCCAGGTGTCATCAGTTTATTTTCATGTATTAAGAAAAACATTTATACTAATTGTCCATCAGTCCAAGGAGGTTTGAAATGAGCAAGGATGACCAGAAAGGTCTTCATAGGAGGAAAAAAAAAGTGTTCTGTTCTGTAATATGCTTCATCATGTCTCTGACAAGGTAGCAATATTTTCACTATACTAAAATATGTTTTGACTCATAAAGCAAAGCTTTTACTGTCACAACTAAAACAGTAATAGTTAAAAATAATAATTCTTACAAGAAATGAAATGTTATTGAAAACTAGATCTGCTTTTACAATTTATACTTATTATTTATACTATATATGTTATACCAAAAGGCCATTTAAAAAGTACTAGTTATTAAGTGCTGCTTTTCAAGCTGTCAAGTCACAAACAGCTAGAAAATACTTATAATCTGAAAGAGCAGAAACCTAAATATAGTTATAAAATACAGCAGATTCTACCACTATAATAATTCTCTGAGGATTGCAGGAACATGGGAAAAGTCCCTTATGATTAGCTGAGTGATTTCAACCAGCCCTCAGAAAAACTAATTACAAACAACAAATGAAATGCTGAAGTGCTCTTAAATTTTAAAACGAAAAACTATGAGAGACAATATAGAACACAACAGCGAAATAAGTAAAGTGCATACATGTTCCATGCATGGAGATAATTTTATGGTCAAAGGTTAAATAAATCACACCACACAAACTACAGGTAAATTAATTTTGTGATACTTTTGCTTATAATGGAACGAACATCTTTCCAAAGGCCAGGCTCACCTCATGTCTACCAGCACTCTCTGTAAAATGCATGCATTTGCCAAATTCTCCAGTGAGTGCACCATTTTCTATTTACCTCCATTTATTCAGTAAAAGTCTATTCTCTTGTGGCCATAAAATTAAGAGATAAAGTCCTCTAATGATAGTGCTATTATTTTAGACACATTTCCAATTTAGAATTACCTGACCTTTCACATGGTGCATTAAAGCAACTATTAGACTTAGGTAAATATAGATCATTAATCATCACAAGTAAGAACAAGGCTGTTTACTCAGTATAATCTCACCTTAAAATAGGAGAGACTTAATTGTGTATCAAAGTTCAGCAACCACAGTGCCCCAGTCTGAATAAACTCAGTTATTATCAAGATTAACCTTGTAAGATGCATTTTTGCCTGATCAGATTTGATCTCTTCCATGTTTGTTAAGATAAGTCAATCCAGGAATGACAAAACCCCATACTTGGAACAGTGGCATATTGCAGCCATCAGGAATAACCAGGGAAACAAAATCATGAAGCCCAAACTTCCAAGAATTTGTATATATCTTCCTGAAAACCATCTAATTTGCTCTTTTCTAACATTCCATCTGTATTTATAATTGTGATTCTACATTAAATTCTTGCTCTTCACAGTATTTTACAACACTCACTGAGTTGCTATATTCTGCATCCGTAAACAGGCATTCTCTATGCAAAACATGCCACGAAGCCCACTATTAATGAAAAACACTTTCATTGATCACTAAAAGAATTTTTTTTAACAAATCAAACCTATACTATATTGGAGCAGAACATACAGCATCTGTACTACACACAATAGGAAGTAACAATTTTCCTGCCTAATTAGGACCATTTAGGAAACAGACTTGACAAAATATAATTGCACACTTCAGGATTTTCATTAACTAAATCCCACGTTTTTCTTTTACCACAAAAAGCAAATGTAATCTTCAGTGGCTGAAAACAGGTAGAACATCAGGCCTTGTTTGCTTCTCAGCTTTTAGATGAGAGCAGTCATCATTGTGGGAAATCTTGGGTTTTATTAGTAGGTTTCCAATTCAGCTATCTGTAGGTATCACTACTTCAAGACCTGAAAAAGCTTTAACTCAGAATTATACAGTAAAATAACACTGAGTCGAATCTGTTCCTCTTCACTAATGATAAATGTGACATCAAAAACCAACCTGGATTCCTGAAACTTTAGTTTTTAAGTCCAGAAAACTGTCAGACAGCTTTATTATCACCATGTAAATACCTATGTACCTGTGTATCAAATAAACGCTACTAAAAGTGCAGTAGCTCTCTACCAGTTTAGATGTGCCTGTAAAAACCTGGTGTTCACGCTAATTTAAAAGGATGTTTAAAAAGCTAGTGCTACCCATCTGAGTTTTCTAATATAATAGATGAGAACGCTTTAGCTGCAGAGCAACCGCAGGGTTTTTTTTTCCCCAGATTTGGCACCTTTTGTTGGTCAGGTTTAAAACAGTCTCCGCCTGCCCTGATGGCAAAACTATGGACTTCAGTTCTGCAGAAGGAAATACAGCTGACTTTTATTGCTGACTACGTTTTAAGTCTCTGCCTTATCTTAGATCGTAAGTATGAAAACGGGCTCTCATCAAGAGACCACCCGAAGCATTTCCATTTCCAAAGCGGCACTTTGCTTTGCGCAGAGGAATAACGGTAAACCACAAAGATACAAAGGAGCGCTCCCGGCACACGCCACAGCTGGGCTAAACGATGGGATTAACCGGATTTAACGGGCAGATGCACGTTCCCCTCGGCGGGAGGCATCCCTGCTTCGGGGCTGAACGCGGCGGGCCCGCGGGGTACAACCTGGCCACACCACCTCACCTGAGCAAACCCCAGCGCCTGTACCGAGAAGGGGTGGTGGTGGGCGGGAGAACCACTAATGGAGGGGTTACGGCTTTACGCGGCACTGCTTCACGCCACCACGCCGCACCGAAGACAACCGGCAC